CGTGGGTACTGCCGAGCCGTATAAAGGTCGATGTCTTATCAGAGGTTTTCAACGAAGGGTCTGGTACAGCTGCTCCACGGTGGTCGCTTGCGTACCCTGTCTCTCTGGATAGTTCCTAGATATTATTGAATTACGTAACTGAACCTGATGAATAGTAGGCTAACGAGGAGGCCAGAGATATAGCTAACAGGCGACGGGAGAGTATAGCTAACGAGGCAAGTGCAGATCAGCTAACGAGGCAAGGCAGAAGTACAGCTAACGAGGCAAGCAGAGTTAAGCTTAACAGAGGATTGGAGAGTGTAAGCTATACAGGGATGGAGGGGGGAGTTATAGCTAACGATAGGATGGATGTGACTGACCCCAGGCACGGCTCACACTTGTACAACAGTCCTGTAACGCCAAACACAGCGAGCGCAGGCTGATAAACACGATGAAAGCATGACAATTACCGACAGGGGGCGGAGTAGGAAGCTAACGATGCGACTCCCCCGGTCTGGTCATGCATTGCCAGCCAGGTTCTCGCATGCGCCGGCGGCATGACTCTGTTGGCACGACGTGTCTTCACGGCGAGACTTGCTGCTTCCCGTGCGCGGCGCTTACCTGACTGGGCGCAGATACCACAGTGAACGCTACGCAATGATCAGGAAACCCGGAGTCAATCCGCACCGATCCACGAACGCGTGGCAGCTCGGGCCGTTAGGTTCGCATACTTATATATGTATCAGGAAATAGCGCGTATGATGTTTATCCTTCGATTTGTTATTAGTAAAACAAAAATTGCTGCCATTTACAAAAAAATATATTTAGATTGAACAAGGCTACTTATTTTAAAGAACATCAATTGTGAAGTTCGGATTTATAGATTCGCAGAAGCTGTAGCTAACTGGAGTGGTTAAAGAGCAAGATGCGGCTGTGATGGCCAGATCAATGTGCATACTATTATATGGTTAACAGCTAATAGAGATCTGTCACCTGTCGGAATATAAACTGTGTGTGGCTTTGCCCTTCCCACTCAAACGGAATAAGTTAACCTAGACAGAGGCACTCAAAAGACGTGCATACCTCGTGGGCGGGAGCGTGTAACATGATACGATGTGGTGGATAAACAGCGGTGGGCTGGCGTGCTGTGGACGGGGGCTGTAAGGGGCGGAGCTGCGGCGGCTGGAGGGGGACGCCCTAAGGCGAGCTGTGGGTGCTGAATCGATGTTCGAATCGGTGAGCGTGGTATAACAGCTGGCTCGCTGCTGGCTACACACACACACGAACACCCACCACGCGAGCGATTGCATGACCTCGCAGTTTGCAACGCGGGAGGTAACCAAGGTGTTAAGGCCCTGGGGCCGCGTGTCAGAAACACAAAAATTAGTCGATAAACTATTAGTCTTAACACTAACATTTTCTCGTTACTAGACCGTTGCCACAGCGACTTTGGTTTTCGTATTGTTAACGAGGAAACATCTGCTACGTATTTTTCATTCAAGGTAACCTTGCAGCGTTCTGACGACCAGCTCTAACCAGAAAAAGTTAATCGTTAAACTATAATGTTAAGACTAATCTTTGTTTCTGACAACGCGGGCCCCTGGATCATGCAGCTAGGTAAGCAACACTGAAACATGCCCTAACTGCTTTTGACGATGGTACGACGGTTGCAGTTGTCCACGCTACCCTTCCGATCTTGCGTCGTGGGATGTTGGAAAGCATCTCGATCTTGCCGGAACAGCATCCAGTAGTTCTTCAATCTTCACTCGCTTGAACCGCGCTCTGAGGAGTTAAATTCAATAAAACTAACTTAAATTCTCAATTCAATGTAAAAAGTACCTGATTGGCCCACCTGTAAATTGCAATCACAGCATTAACATCACAGATAAAAAAAGGTGAGGGTAGGTAGTGAGCTGCTTGGTGATCTATGTAAAATACCTTTATAGTCTGACAGCAAAATGGTAGCAGAGTGTAGTGTTACGTGATGCATACATGTGCTGTAAGCAGGTCGAGTAAGACATGAAATGCGTTAACTATGACTGAGACTGACCATAGCTGTCGGAACATGGAGTATGAATTATGAGAAAGTATATACAAGGCTGTATATACTAGAATGCGTAATGAAGGGATACTGCACTCGCTAGTACTACAATAAACAGGATATAAGCTTACAGGCTAATACTCTTTAACTTCAGGCATTTTCTGGTCTAGCATCGCCATAACGCGGACTTTAGTCTGGCGACATTGCGGCAAATAATGCACTCCTCTTGGCAAGGAGCTAGTCAGCTAGCAGTATAACAAGCAGAGCGGGGAAGCGCCGCCATATCTGGCCTAATCTCAAGATTTGGGTTGCGGGGCAGGAGGCCCTACGAACCAGCATTCTCAGTCGTTTGCTATTGTCTCTGGGTCGGTCTGCACAGCCGTTTCAGCGGATTTATGTCATAGATGCGCGCCTTGACGTTGAAGAAGCAGCACGAGCCGAGATCGCTTCCTCCCGCTCGCGCGTCGCTTCTCGTCTTTGTTATTATTGTAGCTCCTTGCTCTTTCGGGTAGTGTTGCTAGGTTAGTCACGTTCACCGTTTATGCAAGTGTCTATTCATGCAAATACAAATGCACAGTATACGTATAGTTATACGGTGCACCACAACCGCACTCGACCACAACACATTAGTCTAACACAACATAAAGATTAAGAATTTGTTCGAGTGTGCATGCATTTAGCCGATAAGTCGCCACGTTTGCGAAACTTGGGTTGGGCTTCCCTTTCTTCCGCGCGGCAGTCTCGGACCTTCCCCGGCCGAGGTCCGGGTGCTCGAGCTTGAGAGAAAGCTGTCAGTTGATCCTCACTATCCACATTAGTTGACAAGTTACATCGGCCCATGTGGCTGTACGACGGGACAAGACAAGCGACGTCGACGCATCTATATATTGCTGTTAATTGGATAATAAGGTTGAAAGGTGGGTACATGTATTGCAGGCGAGTCGTGCAGAAATCAGAGACGGGCTACAGACCTTATTTAAACTAACTCATCCCCATCATTGCGGTGAAACCTGGTATCTTGAACTGCGTGGTGCGTCAAATAACACCGTATCAGGGTAGATATGAAGGCCAGTATTCTATCACGCGTCGAGATCGATCATTGTCTCTCATGGACACCAGGGGCTTAAGCACTTCCCATTCGCTTACCAAACGCATGGATAGAAATTGTATTTCCTCTCACAGAGTTGGAAAACTGACTCTGGGTTTGTCATGAGTATACATCATACATCCCTACTGGATGGTTACGGTGTGGGTCCTCGGAACTGATCACTGAACGGTATGTGGCGTACATGTTATGTTGATCGGGGTCTGCCCTCAGGCCCTCCCTGTGTGTGTCGATGTGTGATTGTGTGTCCCATGTGTGTGGTTGTGTGTGTGTGGGTGTGTGTGTGGACAGCGTGTGTGCCCCGGCGTGTGTGTGCCGGTGTGCGTGTGTGTGTGCTGCCCCTGTGTGTTGTGCTGTGTGTGTGGTGTGTGTGTGTGTGTGTGTGCTCACGCCTGCTGCGGTGGTGTGTGTGACTGTGTGTGTGTAGTGTGTGTGCGTTGCGCGCTGTGTGTGAACGTGTGATAGAATCCTCTGTGTCGATCGTGCATTGTCAAACCTATTCCAATTTTAATTATGAAATCTGAAAAGACGTAGGCATAGATGACTAGTGTAGAGATTTGAAAATCCGGCAGTTATTTTTAGCTACAGTTTCTGTAAGTCACTAGCGCCTGAGTGTCTAAGGGAACGCAAGAAAAAAAAGTTGTTCCTGCAGAACCATGTCTACCGAGAAACCATGTCAGACCTGAACATTTTCAGTGAAGCCCTGTATAGGTAACTCTATACCATAACCCCGGACGACAACTTACCAATAACCCGATCGCGTAGATTTCTAACAAAACAACTTAGGATCGCGATCACCTGGTCGAATTTCTCCATATTACCCCTACGCAGTTAACACTTTAGTTACTATGACGCCGTGGGCGTCATACCCCATAAACTTGTCCATTTGTTTTCGGCGCTTATCGGAGTTCTGGTGGGCGCGCTAGTAGCGCACAAGCAACCATTAAATTAAGTAATAAAAATAAAAAGTATTTATAATTGAATTAAAGTTAAACAAGTTCAATTATATTAATAGCATAACAATAAGCCAAGCCAACACAGTTAATTACAGCTGCTAAAAAAACAAGAGTTATATATGTGATTGCTGCCCGCCACCTCGATCTCTGTTATTAGTTTATTCATAAAAATTACATCATGTATAGAATCTTTAATATGCATCTTCATCTCTCCATGCTTATCATTGCTAATTTCAATATTAATTTGTCTAACAGAAATATATACCGAACGAACCATTAATTACCGTCGAATATATATATATTATATATATATATAATATATAGTATATATCTATATTATATATATATATAAAAAGATGTATCAAGGCTCATAACTATCAAAAAAAAACTCATGCTTGCTCATTTGCATATGATATAACTCCTGACTAGATACTTATCCTGTTACATAACTTCAATAACACAGCGGTTGATGTTCTATTGCAATCAGGATGTCCTAGATGGCGATAGTGTGTAGGCGGAGCTCATCTGCAGGTCGCTTGGATCGTTTAAGTCTGTTGTCTACACGTAGTGCTTCTTTCTGCTCCTCAGCGTCCTGCCAGGATAAACAAACAAATCTAAAAGCTCAGGTAGCTGCCCCAAAGCGTGCCTGAAAAAACTTAACTCTGATAAACGATAAATCGACGAGCACTAGAGATACATGGCCATTGGCAGCGGCGTTCTCCTCTACGTTGCGCAACGGGGCGCTGCGCGCAACGTTTGGAAACTCCCCCTGTTTGAATCGTTGCGGCGCCCGATTTGCGGAAAACTCCCCCCTGTTTGAATCGCTTTGCGTCCCGTTTTAAAGTTCCACCACAATAAAAAAGTTTGCCAGCGCCGGGGGGGGTGTGGGCGAGGGATCGGATCGCAGTCAAGGGATTTGCCAGACCAGCCGTCTCGACCAGGACATCTCGACGCCGTGTATGTTTTACCGTACCACGCACTGTACTTCGACAGACAGTACAAGCAAGTAACCTGCAATGGACAGTCGAACTGTCACTAACTGATACACCGACTCGGCTACTCTTATATATTACAAAACCCCAAATACGGTTCTATGGTGTCGGTCTACTGCGCATTTTACGGCATCTAATTAAGTCGTACGCCGGGTAAAAATACAGCCCCACCGGACCCCCTAGTTCCCCCCTCCCGCCTCCCTAGTTTTCCCGCCTCCCCCTCCCCCCTATCCCCTCCCCTCCCCCCTGTTTGACTTTCATCCTGGGCCCCGAGAACCCTGCATTGCCTAATACTTAATAGATTAGTAATCTCATGAAGAACTTTCTATCCAGTCTTTCCCATCACCTACCGACATCTTGTATTTATATATTCACCACGCTTTTTGTTTGACATCCCCAATAAAGAATAAAGATGGGAACGGTGCGAACGTATGTTCCATTAGCCTACTCTATGCTTGGGCTTCGCGCTGGCCAGCGTGGAACGCTTGACCTCCAGACCATCTAACGTGGTGGGGCCAGAGGTAGTCTGGTAGCATCACCAACCGACCTTGTAGACACGCATTGCATGTCTGTCAGTCTGCCAACAAAAACACACCCTCCCGGCTGTTAGACTGACCTTACTAATAAACACACGCTGTTCACCTTTCGACATTCACGTATGTTAGCTACAGTTAACTTCCAATGTGACAACAGTACGCTTCCAAAATCGTATCGTCTTGAAAGTTCCAATGGACTGTCTGTAAACTTAAGTGCTAAAAGAAGTTAGAAAAATAAGTGCTGAATGGCGCGGTTCTTCGTTTTCTAGTAGCATGTGTGTTAGTTAAAACCGTTGAATAAAGGTGATAATTAGAGGACCGATTCTTCAGCGAAAATTAGTTAGTTATTGCAGCAACATCCAATCAAGCATGCTAAAAGACAGTGACTTTCACTTGCTATAAAGCGGTGCACGAAGCAATTCCTTTCCATTACTTTCATTTCACTGTTCTCTCATACTCTTACAGTAATGTTTAGACTTCATAGTTCCTTCCGTACGTCGCGCAGAAAAAAAAAAAAAAAGGACTCGGACACGGACTCGAGCCCTCCGGACTCGAGGACTCGGGTCGAGGCCGGCTCGAGGCCACTACATACATTGTAATACGAGGCTGTTTACAAGAATTTAAAACTAAAACTCTTAGGTTTTCTAGATACACGGCCTAATCTTGTAACGTTTTCAATGGCTCGATTAAGATTCTTGTCCCTTTGCTTTGAATCTGCTGTCACTTCAGCCCTTTGCGCTTTTTCTACCACTTCTTTCTCTTCTTCTACCACTTCGAAGATACTAGCACTCTCTCATTTTGTTCAACAAGCCGTGTCATTCGCGTAAAACAGAAATGGATTCGTTACTTTGACACGTTTCGTGTGACTCGTGTCTCTGTGTTTTCGGCTGACTATGGCGATGTTTCATGTTTATAAACATTGACGTCATATGAGCACATGCGCAGTTTAACGGTTGGCAGCAAGCAGATGCGTGATATTGTTCGATACAAGCACACGCATGCCTGCACGCACGCACGTGTACATGCACACGCACGCACACACTCATGCACGCACGTGTACGTGCACACGCACACACACATGCACGCACGTATACGTGCACACGCACGCACGCAC